GCAGTCGGGATACTGATAATGGGTGTGTGTAGGCTACTCCCAGAAACCAGTGACGTAGCCAGCCCGACAATTTGGTCATGCTATGGAAATATTTCCGTGTTGATAAACCGTGAAAACAATCAATTTATAAAGAAATGAATAATGGGAATGATTTGAAATTTGCATAGCATGACCAAATTGTCGGGCTGGCTACGCCACTGGGGCAGAAACCTATTATAATTTTGAACCCTGGGGCGTCAGATTTCCAGCATTTTGAGACATCTTTTCAATATTCCATCTTCCATCTAGAAAACAAGGTTAGGGAATAATTTACTGGGGGAGCTAACTAAAAGGCATTGTGGCAACAGGTACTGATACAGCTGCGGTACGGATAGAAAGTTAGATTATCCAGAACTTTTCATTTTTACACAAAAGTTGATGTGCAATGAAGTGTCCTCTCTGGAAGAGCTGTCCATCTCTGATGCACCACTGAACTTGTGGGGCAATGCTTGCCACTGCAATATCATTCTGACATATATTCTACACAACATCATTCAATCTATTACTTTGGGATTATTTTTGCAGATTAGTTATATTTATAAAGGCTATTGCCAGCATTACAACCCATAGTGCAACAACCTCTCTGTCAGACGAGGAAAGAAGATGGGTTGTCATTGGTGTATTTTTGGCCAAAGTGCTTACTCCTGCATTGAGAAATGTTCTTGCAACCGAATTACCGAAGTGGCATCAAGTTTTATGTCAACCACCGACCAAAATTGACAAACAAGTTTTTGGTGGACAGCAGAAAAAGTTACCCCCATCAACTTTGAACCTCAACTATAAAAGTATCAACAACAATGGACCACCTCTGAAACCTAGTGCTTTTGATTATGCAGTTAAGGATCCATTGTCTTTGGCAAAGTTGTTTTTTATACCATCCATGTCCAAGTTCACTGGCTTTGATGATACAATGGATACGTCTGCAGTCTTATCAGTGATTTGTGAAGTTGCACCATTTGTAGGAGCTGCTGCTCATGCAAAGACAGTTCGATCAGATATCAGAAACGAGTCGGCACATTGCAACTTTGCAAATTGGACTGAAGCAAGATTTAAAGCCGCTTTTCAAAGTATGAAAACTTTACTGAAGAATATGAATTTCTCTCCTGAAGAAGAAAAGAAATTGTGTGATGAGCTGAATGGCTGGAAAAGTAAAGGTAACGCCTAATAATCAGAGATTTTATGCCTATATACATGGTAGTTCTGTATAGAATATTTACGTGGAAATTCTAGTTAGTATCCATCCTTAAGCCGGTTATCTACTAGCGAATTTTTTCCCGCGAAACGACCTTTTTCCTTTAATTTGTCGACATCCATTTTGCGACGTCTTGCTGACGTAATAAGTGATATCGACAAACGTCGCTTCGCGCGAGAGAATTGACACAAAGAGATGATACTGTTTAATATGTAATATATGAACAACGAGAGCGAGTGTTTCACCGGGATATCCAAACAC